GTGCCACAAGTATGGGTGAGAACTCTACTCAACTTGTATCCGCTCACTCATGTCAAGATCGAATTTATACTTAGATGCAGTATGAGGGACACGTAGGCACTTGGAAATGTTTATAGTGTAACGTCAAAGGTGCGCGACGCCTGGTATTATGATCGTTAATCCGGCGGCCAAGTGACGTTTAAGGCAAATCCTTAACCGCAGACCCAAGCTGTTGATTTTTTATAGAATAAGGATAATAAGCGAGCACATCATCCACTCTGTGGTTAGCAGATGCTATGGTCTATAGACATCTACGTCCATCCTCGATTAAGCATTAACAACAGATGCGTTGTCCCTTGAGGACTAAAATGGAATGCCTCGTAAAAAAGATTTCCGGTTCTTTAAACTCAGCATACGATATACAGCAGCATTAAGCTGGTAATTCACGCTGGTATTATGTGAGAGCGTGTTCCCACACCAGTTGAGTGGATTCATTCGTGCTACAACGCGTGGCTTTATCACGTATAAAAATGGTATACGTTACACTGTCGTATACGTTTACGTTTACCGTCGTTACTGGCAGTGCCACACGCGCGAACCGCACTGATGCAGCAAGCACCGTTCACGCGCGGGCACAGTGTGATCAACACCATGTCGGAGCGAACTGATTTATTTCCATGTTCGCTGAGTGAGCTCAGTAAAATGGCATATCATACTGTATCGTTGGCTACACTGTCGAATTAGGGTACTCACCCTGTAATGATTGTGTATGTTGTAATTGTGTGTAAATAAATAAATAAATAAATATATAAAACTATAAAAATTCGAATCACATGCAGTCGTTTAGCATTCCTTAAACGTGTTAAGTTAATGATTAACGGCGCCACCAAAAAGCAAATGTTGATATACGTAAACGTCTGTCTGAGACGTCACGTCAAGTCTATGTATTATATATACAAAGTTGTGAGTATTGAGCCATGTATACGCTAGCAAACATTTGTATATAGACGTTGTTACAGATTGAATGTTTACTGTCGTTTATTGTTAATTCAATTTTTTATTGTTTATTATGTCAGGGTTCCGTGGCGCAGTGGTTTAGCAATTAGTTACACTGAGGGCCGCGAGTTCGGATCCCGCACGGAACAAGTATTTGTATATGTATGGCCTACAAGTAATTGTTCTGGGTGTGGATGTTGGTCCTTGTGCAATTTAAGTGTGTAAACTGCTTCCACAATAGCGAAGAAAATCATAGTTTTAACCCCATACTAGTATTTTGACGTTTAAAAAAATAATTTAAGAAAAAAGGTTAATAAAGGGTTTTGAAGAAACTTTAATGACGTCCAAACCTTACCTTCGATTTTTACCACAACCATACCATGCCTAATCAGATAGTCACTTCATGTGGTGGAAGGTTGCTTTACATTCGCTTACCGCTACGAGGCTGCTTCTTTTGATTTCTTCCCCATCTTTTTTGTCACTTGTTCGAGCTATATAACCGGCCCATTGCCACTACTGTTTACTTATCCATTAAAATATGTCGGATACTCTGATTCTACTGTGGATGTATTCATTTTGATTTATATCACACAGAAATGCACCTCTTCATAGCTCGTTGCTTCCCCATACGGCCAGCAATGAAAAACCACTTAGTAAGACATGCAGGAGCCCACCAGCATTTAGTAAGGCTTAGGCCCCTAAGAAGGGTTTTCTTCGTTCGTTGTTTCGTTCGTTCTGGTTTCCCAGATTATTGCCTAAAGGTTTCTGAATGCAACAGCATCATGCTGAATTGTATGGCTTCTCATTACTGCTACTACTTTATATATATATATATATATATATATATATATATATATATATATATATATATATATATATATATATATAAATCTTAATCTATATCTAATCAATGTCTTTTTTTGTTTGCTTTTTAGCTGTAATTACTATCTGTATAATGTGTGACAAATACATCATTCATTCATTCAGTTACTCCACATCTTTAAGGCTATTTTTTTTATAGAATAAGGGTGACAAACGAGCACACAGTCCACCTTATGGTATGTGTGGTTGCTGTTGCCCATAGACATCTACATCTATCTTTGTTTGCGAATTAAAATGCAGATGCGATGTCAGCCGTGAGGACTAAGATAGAATGCCTCTTTTCCAGTAAAATGTGGGTCCGGTTCTCTACACTCAACATACGAAACACAGCAGCATTATGCTGCTATTTTACGCTGGTATTCTGTGAGAGCATGGTCCTTCCCCGGTCGAGCTGACCCATTCGTGATACAACTATACTATTAATATAGCTGCAGCATGGCTCTACCACGTAAAAACATACTTATACGCATGTTTTTATAAACACATACGTTTATACATACGTATAGGTATGTATAAACGTATTTAACATTGTTTCTTGTGTTCCTCTGCGGTAGTAAGATAGAATGCCTTGCAAACTGTAATGAAATCGCCCCTCAATACCCTTCACGCTGAAACAGCAGCGCATTAGTATTTCTGCTTAGCGCAGTCCCACAGGATACCAGCAATAGCAGCTTAATGCTGCTGTAATATATATTATGTTGTTTTTATTTATTTATCCTATATCGCAACACATCTTCTACCAGGGGTTACGAAAGGTGGGCTTAGGAATTGCTAATTATTTGCAAATTAAGGACAAAATACTTAGAAAGTAAACAGTTAAAAGTATTTTTATATAAAAGTATATTGTACAAACACGCTGTGAGGTAAAACATCTTTGCCCTCAGAAGACAACATATCTGTGACCTTCTTAGTACGAAGTTGGCTGCAAGTGTCTATGGGCTGCAGTGGCCACTATTTATCAGATGGACTGTCATTTAAATTTTATACAAAACATAAACAAAAATGTAAAATCATATAAATGTTGTTATTGTGAAGCACTGGCCTTATTTTTGTCAAATACCGTGGGGAAGTACAGTAATTTTGATAAGACATCCTTCTGACCGGTTTTTTTATTTAATTTTTCTAATTATTTAATAATTATTGGAACACATTGTCAGGTTTATCTGCAGACTTCCAAAAAGGAGACGGTACTCAATTCGACTGTATGTTTTTTTTTATGTGCGTTACCTCATAACTTTGAACTGGGCGAACCGATTTCGATGATTCTTTTTTTATATGAAAGCTGATAGTTCTCTTGTGGTCCCATATGAGTTTGATCAAGGTCAGACCAATAGTTTTTGAGTTATTCTTAAATAACTTATATTGAAGTCGGGTGTACAAAATTTTTAATTTTAACATAATATTACATAAACACTCACACCTGTCACCCAGAGGGGTAGGCAGAGATTATGGACTTCCATTTGGCACGATCCTGACACACCTCTCTCGCTTCCTCCACATCCATATACCTACGCATACACGCTCGTCGGTTAAAGGTACTCTTGATTTGGCCCATTTTTAATATATCGCCAATTTGGTCGATAAACTTTCGCCTAGGGCGACCCTTTCCGACTATGCCGTTCACCTCTGCAACATAAATTTACTTTGTCACTCTTTCCTCATTCATTCTTTCTACATGGTGGCCATGTAGGCCATTAATTTTAAATTATTGTTTATTCTTTTTTTTATCTTTTTTTAACTTTACCCCCACACTAGGATTTTCTCCTGTATCTTGGAGGCAGTTTACAAACACATATTGCACAAGAACAAACATCCAGACCGGGAACAATTATTTGTAGGCTGCTATATTAGTACTCGTAGTATAGTTGTAGCACGAATGGGTCGGCTCGACCGGGGAAGGACCACGCTCTCACAGAATACCAGCGTAAAATAGCAGCTTAATGCTGCTGTGTTTCGTATGGTGAGTGTAGACAACTGGAGACCCTTTTTACTGGAAAAGAGGCATTCCATCTTAGTCTTCACGGGTGACAACGCATCTGCATTTTGATTCTTTATTGAGGATAAATGTACATGTCTATAGGCCACAGCAACCACTTACCATCAGGTGGACTGTGTGCTCGTATGTCACTCGATCCTATAAAAAGGAAAAACAAATACTTGTTCCGTGCGGGATTCGAATTCGCGGCCCCCAGTGCAACAACTCATCGCTAAGCCACTGCGCCACGGAGCCGTCAATAATAGTAGTAGTAGTTAGTGAAGCGAATGAAAACTTTTGGATAGGGCTATGTGTTTGTGTTATTCTATTTAAAAAAAACTAGTACTTCAAATGCACTTTATAATTTGTAGAACCTACGAATCTAAGCACTGCTCTATTTCAAAAGCAGTGACTTTATCTGGTAAATTGATTTTTCTGAAAATCGGCGCCGATTTATTGATATTAACCGACGTTAATGTTTGTCAAATCTCCCAACCAATCCTGTGATCGCCAAAATAGCAGTTAAAGATGCAATGAATGGTGTAGTGAGCCAGTATAATGACAAGCTGTGATGTGGAGTGCCTATATTATCTTAGTCCTCAGAGTAAACAACGCATCTGTAGCTTTCTTTGTACAAATTGGCTGCAGATATCCATGGACTGCAGTAAACACTATACTATCTGTTAGACTGTTAGTTCGTTTATCACATCTGCCTTATGAAAAAAAAACGAAATCAACTTTTTCGTACAAAGTTGTAGGCAAATCATCTAATGTTATTTCATAAGCTTTTCCAAAATTATCCGTTATTCGGGTTTAGAGTTAACAGATATAAGTGATTGGCATAACTTAAGGTAATTTCACACTTTCTAGTTTATTTTTCGTGTGATCGTAATTTTTTTCGATGACTGATGATTTGTTTCTTTATCCTTTAGCACATGTTGAATGAGCACTTAAAATTGTGTCTAAACATATAAATTGATGGAAATCGAACTAAGTGTGCTCGCGTTCATCGAAATGTGCCCAGCTCCTGAGTTACCATGGCTCTCACGATATCATAAGACTTTTCTAACGCCATAATACCAAGTTGTTATCTTTATACGTTTTTAATGCCAAACAAAGAATATAAATAATTATGTATTTTTGTTTTAGAATCTATTCAGTCACGACAATGATAACACTAGCTATCGCACTGGTTGCAGTCGTCCTGGTGTACATATACGGTACAAGAACATACAAATATTGGGAGAAACGAGGGGTCAAATATGTTAAACCAATACCATTCCTCGGGACATACGGAAGCGTCTATATTATGCAAAAGAGTGTAAGCCAAATTAATGTCGACGCGTACTGGAGCTACCCTAACGAAAAGGTGGTGGGACAATTCTGGGCATCAAAACCGCAGTTATTGATAAGAGACCCGGAGATCATTAAACGGATCCTAGTTACAGACTTTGCACATTTTTACCCAAGGGGTTTAAATCCGCACAAAGAAGTGATTGAGCCGCTATTACGAAATTTGTTTTTTGCGGACGGTGATCTATGGCGACTACTGAGACAACGTATGACGCCAGCGTTTACTAGTGGTAAATTAAAAGCGATGTTTCCATTAATCGTGCAAAGAGCTGAGAAACTACAGACACGTGCTCTTACTGGTTCAAATAGCGGGCAGGTGCTAGACGCGAGAGACCTAATGGCACGGTATACAACCGATTTCATCGGAGCTTGTGGCTTTGGACTCGATGCAGACTCACTCAGTGATGAAAACTCAGCATTTAGAAAACTAGGCGCAAAGATATTCACTTCAGGTCCCAAAGACATTTTTATAGCAATGTTAAAGGAAGTGTTCCCCGATATGTGCAAGCATTTGAAGTACTTAAACCGTGTTGAAGAAGATATGATTAATCTTGTTAGGAGTGTTCTGAAAGATAGAAATTACGAACCATCGGGAAGAAACGATTTTATTGATTTATTATTAGAATGTAAGCAAAAGGGAACAATGGTAGGCGAGTCAATAGAGAAAACAAAACCTGATGGCACTGCAGAATTAGCCACATTAGAATTAGATGATGAGCTTTTAGCTGCGCAAGTTTTTGTATTTTTTGCTGCTGGTTTTGAAACTTCTTCATCCGCAACGAGTTTTACATTGCACCAGCTTGCATTTAATCCGAATGTACAGGAAAAAGTTCAAGAAGAAATCGACCGAGTTCTTGCTAAGTATGATAATAAATTAAGCTATGATGCCGTTAAAGAAATGACGTACTTAGAATGGACTTTCAAAGAGGCTATGAGGATTTTTCCATCCCTTGGTTTTTTAATCAGAGAATGCGCTAAACAATATACTATTCCTGAAATTAACTTAACAATTGATCAAGGTGTTATAATAGCAATTTCAGTACAGGCACTACACAATGATCCAAAGTATTTTCCTAATCCAGAAAACTTCAGGCCCGAAAGATTTGACCCAGAGGAGTTAAGATCTGTAGAAAAATATGTTTATTTACCATTCGGTGCAGGGCCTCGTGTTTGCATTGGTGGGTACAGAATTTTTTTTATCGAATACTAAATGTTTAGAAATCATTAAAAAGGTGGTCATAGCCTACGAGCATTTACGTCACACACACACACATCATTAGCCTCCTTGAGATTTTCTTTCAATAAGTTCTCAGTAGCAGACCAGAGTCAGGAAATTGGTAGTGTCCAACCCCCGTCCTCCGGAGAGCACGTAAAGCCATCGGTGCTGCGCCTGTTCTTTCTACGGCCGCATTAGATTACGGTCCCATCGAACAATGAAAGTAAGGGAATATATAGGCCACTATAATCCTGTGATGGTTAACTAAAATTTGGTCTAGAGGAAGTTATTTTTGTTATTGTTATGCTCATGAATATTTGTCTTAATCGACACGCTTGGCAATCGGATTGATGATAGCAGCATTAGACGTGTCGCACTTTTGAAGATGCGCTCCTTTACCGGTCTGGGTATTTCACATGTGAGAAAAATAATATGGTAACGCCGCCATCTATCGGAAGCTATAAGATCTTCCTGGCATTTCCTATCGTTGCCTCTTACGACACCTAAATGACGAAAAAATATTGTTTTACATCGCTACTACACTGTAACTTTTTATGTAGTTGTTACCATTACCAAAAAAGCTGTGGTTAATAATGAAACGTTATAGTGAAACTGTTAACGAATGTTAACGAAAGTTAATACAACAACAACTAAGTGAAGTGAATAACGATCTGTGATCGATTACTTCAATTATTTTTGTAACTGTTACTTGTTGGAATGTTAATATTTTGTATTTTTTATTATTATTTTGTAGATATGTACGCAATTAACACAGAAAAATTATCGAAAATATATATTAAAATGCTCAATTTAATCGAGAATCCATTATATTTTTTATTATATTTTATCGATTATTATTATCGTTTCATATCGAACCGAAAATCTTCTTATTCTTCTTTTAAATTATGGCTGCTCTTGATAGAATTCTGCCAGTGAACCGAAAATGTGTCATTTTCTTTTAAGTAAAAAGTTTGAAGTTTCAACTGTCAAGTCAAGTTTCAAAATAAGAAGTCCTCTTTTGGAAGACGTTCAGAATAGAGGATTTTACTAGTGTATTCTTTATGTTAATCGATTTATTGCCATAAAGAATACACTACAAATGATTTTCTAACTTATTTCTTATTTTATTGGTTTTTAGAATTCTATATTGTAAAAAGAGCTACATTTTTGTATTTTACTTTACATAAATATGTCAATTTTTTTAAAGTATAAACCAATAAGTTAACTTCAGGCCGAAAAATACCCATTCTCCTTTTTCACTTATCCATAATTATTGTGTTCAATACAATCGAAAATCTACGAATCAGTGAGATGTATTTTGATTATACCATTGTGTACCGCGCTCACGATAGTGAGTGAGGAGTGCTTTAATGTCGACAAAAAATTTCATTCATAATGTAACGAATTTGGCTCATCCAAATAGAGAGTTTAAAAAAAATGAGAACTTGTAATTTATAATGTAAGCATTTGAAAGAAACGCTTATGTAACTTCTCTTATTAATCACACGTCGACCCAGTGTCAATTTAGGAAAGCCATGTATGAAAAGAAATGGAAAAAGGTATGCATAGTGTGAGGACACTAGTTTATATACTCCAGCTTTGTTGGTGTGATAAGACCATAGATTATGATCGCATACTAGACAAATACTATTTTACTTCAATTTTATTATCTTAGTGCTGTATATTATAATCTTTACGACCTTTAGGTGTGGAAATAACCATTTTGTCATTTTTATTTTTATATAAGAATTTTTTTTATCGGTTACATAAACTTTATATAGGAAAATACGAATAAAATGTCAATAGTAGTGACGTCAGTTAATTTGAAGTATGTATGCTACCTCGGTTGAAATTGTCTAATGCAATTTTTTTTTCAGGTGAACGACTGGGCCTAATGCAGTCGTTGGCGGGGCTGGCTGCATTGCTGTCTCGTTTCTCAGTGGAGCCAGCACCTAAAACTTTAAGATATCCAAAGATCAATCCAGCTTCCGATATTGTACAAGTTATCCAAGGTGGACTACCGCTTCGCTTTATAAAACGAGCAGCAAAATGACCTTAGTTTATTTTAACCATGTTAATATTCTGACGAAATTATGTGGTTTTGTTAAATCGTAATAAATTTTATTTTAAAGTACACTTACGAATAAAGAGTTCTGTTTCTGACTAAATGTAAGATTCTGTGATAAAATGTATTTATTAATAAAATTAAATTTATCATTGCATATTTAACAGTTCGCATTCGTAAATTTTTACTTAGTATCCAGTATACGACGTAATCCGATCGTTAGAATTAGGCAGATTGTAATATGCCTGGGCATTTCATCTAATGTCGTCATTTCATGATTTGACCAATAATTCTTAGCTTTGCCTTCTGTTATTAAAAACACGAAATCACCTATCTAGTGATATCAGTGACAGTAGGTAAATCATCGGCCAAATCATGACATGGCGGTGAATTATGAAATGCCCACACATCATCTGCCCAATTCTATGATCGGACGACGACAAACACTAAGACCCTGATCGATCGAGCCATAAGCTTGCGGTAAAGATAATGTCTTAACTCGCGACTTGTGGTTCCTGATATACTAGCTAGTCAGACAAAACAAACGGTTTTGCATCTGAATAATATACTACGTACTATAACTGATACCAGGAAGAAAATCTGTGCGACAGTACGGAGCGCGTCGATGGAGGCACATAGCACCATTTTATGGCAGACAGAGTAAGTTTGAGCCCATGGACCCTAATGCGTATTGCAAACGACCAAGTATAGGCATCTCTTCTAGTAGATACGTAATACATATTACTTCAATTTTGCGATGATCAATCAAAGTTCTTTACTTGCGTATCACCAAGATCGCTTTACAACTCGCTCGATCAGAACCTTTAGAGTAAGGTCTCAGTATAAAGCAGTTGGCGGAGCATGCAGTGGTGATAGTTATCGAGTTTTTGTATAAACGATCCTTCCATGCCCCATATACGTAATCCTCTAGAAGCATTCTACACAGACCTTTAAGCTAACTTCTTGTATTGTAAATTATAAAATAAAATAATTATACGTGGGTAACATGAAAGAAACTTAGATTTACCTAAAATAAATCACTATAAATATACATCTGTAAACCCAATTTTATCCCATGTTGGTCTGGAACTTACAGATGTCATGCTTTTGAAAAAATAAAGTACCATACATACATACATACATAAACACTCACGCCTGTCACGCAGAGGGGTAGGCAGAGACTACGGACTTCCATTTGGCGCGATCCTGACAGACCTCTCTCGCCTCTTTTACATCCATATATCTACGCATACACACTCGTCGGTTAAAGGTACTCCTAATCTGGTCCATTTTTAATGTATCGCCGATTTGGTCGATAAACCTTCGTCTAGGGCGCCCCTTCCCGACCCTGTAAAGTACCAATAGTGGTTTTACGTGGTAGAGCCACGTTGCACCTATATTATGCATATAGCACGAATGGGTCAGCTCGACCGGGGAAGGACCACGCTCTCATAGAATACCAGCTTAAAATAGCAGCTTAATTATGCTGTGTTTCTTATGGTGAGTGTAGAGAATCGAAGACCCTTTTTAACGGTAGCGAGGCATTCCATCTTAGTTTTAATTGGTTACAAGACATCTGCATTTTGATTTTTAATCAAGGATAAATCTACATGTTTGTACACCACATCATCCATTTGAAATCATTTGGATTTTATTTAATATGGTATGGTGAACTCATTTGTCACCCATATTAAATAAAAAATACAGTCGACAAATTATTGATATTCATGATCTTGCAAATTGCGTGCTCTAATTAGGTAAGGGTCCTTATTATGGAGGGTTAATGACGCATAAAATAATTATAATTTGTGTATTGATCCATAATTGCTCTGGATTCTCAACTCCTCCATAGCATGAATCACTCTATGTTTTAGCCCTGAATGAAATTCACATGTTGACCTCACTGCTTAGTAATAGTATAATCTTAAAAGTCCTTTAAATTGTTTAGAAACTTGAGGATTTTTCAACTCTCTTACCATTGTGTAAAATAAAAATTCAATAAAAAAACATATATTTTTCTCGTGAATTGTACAGAGATATCTTTAAAATATACAGAGCCATCTAAATGGCCGTATGAGGAAGCTCAAAGTCATTCAGCGAGCTATGGAGGATCATTCACAGGACGGGATATAGGATAAAATGATAGTAGAGGGCGATAAAAATCGTATATGGATACACTATCGGGCAACAAACTATGTATTATAAGCCGTTGCAGTACAACGTCACTTTACAGATCATCTAACATTGTACTCGAAGAAACAATAAAAACGTAAAATATCTATGATATGATACACTTTTGGCGGCGCGCTCGTCCAGCCGTAAGCGAAACGCAACGAAGCCAAATCGCGTTATCAAATTTCTGAAGTTTAGAAGCGTCGGTAGCCTAATGGCAGGGCGCGGACTGCGAACTCGAAAGTTCGTGGGTTCGAATCCGCCATTCGACTACTGTCGTGAACCACACCTAACACAAGCATAAAATGCTTGTGTTAGGTGTGGTTCTGGTAGGTAACTAGCTTACCAGAAGTGGTTAAAGGGAATATTCGTAATGTTTAATAGAATTACTAGTATTTTTTTAAAGTTCTGAAGTTAACGTGCTAAATATAGAACAGTTTCGTAACAACTCACGAAGCGTTGACCGCTCCCCGGGCTGAACACCTTGCTCGACTGAAATTCGAACGAACCATAAACGCATATAGTATATTTGATTGGAACAGATACACCCACTCCGACTCTCCGTTGTAGTATATACTCGTTTCAGAGTATCATAGATATTAACCAATACGTATGAACATACAATATCACAATATATATTTAAATCTAAGCAGACCAAATCAAAGAAAATTCGCGTATTATCTTGTAGTACTGAATACCGACTTCCTTACAGAGTTAGAGAATCACGTACATATTAAACGATATATTAACAGTGTAGTGTGTAGTGTTATGCTACTTACATATCATTTTACATTATTTTAAATTCATTTTTCCATTCTGTTTCGATTTTCTGCATTCACCTCAAAACTGGATATTTTACATCAGTTTTATTTCCATAGGATCCTGTAACGATTTTAAACCATAAGAACACAATAACAAATCATTTCTACTTCGTATTTTCACATTATCAACACTTTTAAATTGGTGTCAATGGAGTCTACCTTTTTTCGATCTTTTAGCTAGTTTTCCGTAATTCTACAATCTCGGGCTTTGTGTGGGCAGCTGCGCTACCTTTTCTCCTATATCAATAATATCTCATTTTCCACTTAAATCTTACCGTTTTCTTATTATAAACCTAAAACCAAAATTTGACATATTTTTTCATTGTTATTTATTTCGTTTCCATAGTAATTATATTCAAATTTGCTACCGATCTGTTGTTCCTATTTCGATAATTCACATAAATACTCTTTTCTCTTGACCATTTACAAAAAATTTGCGTTTAATTTAAATAATTTTTCCGTTCTCTCTAGAAAGGTATAAAAGCCGAACAATCGGTGAAGAAAGGCAGTCTCGCTTCAGTTCGCAAATTGGAAGTATCTCCTAAAGGCCTTATCCCGGGGCCGCTCTGCCCCGGGATCCTGCAAGCCTCCACTTACACGTGAAGTCTTCGGCGAAGCCTTCTTCAAGCGCGGAGCCGCACCACTCCGGAATCCTACAAGCTTCCATCTACCTCGGAAGTCGTCGGCAGTCTACTTCAAGCGCGGGGGCCACACTACTCCGGGCGCTTCGACTGCTTACTCCAGGCGCTGAGTGCACCTACTGCCGGTGCTACCTTTGGGCGCTGCAACTGCTGACTCTAAGCGTTGAGCGCACCTACTCCAGGCGCTACGTGCGCCGGCTCCGGACGCCGCGTGTGCTGGCTCCAGGCGTTGCGTGTCGTCGCTGCTAAGAAACCTACCTCTACAAGCACAACCGGCGTGTGCTGGGTTCAGGCGCTGCGTGCTGTCGCTGCTAAGAAACCTTCCTCTACAATCGCAACGTGTGTCGCTTCGACTTTTAGGCTCCACTACAATTCTATATTCCCCTATTCTCCTACCTTTATATTTTTTTTTTGTAATCTAATTGTACTCTCACTTCATTCATCATCATCCTCATTTCATTTTTTTTATAAAATTGTAAATATCTTTGAATTTTGAATATATTTTTGTTTTTGTTGTATTTTTGTTGTTTTGTTATTCTTAGGTTAGATTCTTTTTGATATATTATTGTCGCTTCACGACATTTGGCGCCCAACGTAAAAGTCCTCTTTCTCTCTTAATTCTTCACCTTTACTGCGCCTTGTCCATTCCGTTTTGATTTAATTGCTCTCCCTTTCGTTCTTAACTCATTATTCATCATTCATTTATTCATCCTTTTCATACCTTCCAAATTCTAAAACAACATTTCATCTAGTGTTTCAACTTATCTGGCTTATATTTAGACCTACATTTAACACTTCACTTACATTCATCACTTTAATATTTTTATTCTAGAACAAAACTTCATCTAGTTTTTCAACTTATCTAGATTATATTTAGACCTACATTTCACACAACACTTACATTCATCACTTTAATATTTTTATTGTAGATAACCTTCCAAATTCTAAAACAACGCTTCATCTAGTGTTTCAACTTATCTGGATTATATTTAGACCTACATTTCACACAACACTTACATTCATCACTTTAATATTTTTATTGTAGATAACCTTCCAAATTCTAAAACAACACTTCATCTAGTGTTTCAACTTATCTGGATTATATTTAGACCTACATTTCACACAACACTTACATTCATCACTTTAATATTTTTATTCTAGGTAACTTAAAGAGGTATAACTTTTCAATTAAATCTTTATTTCTTAAACTTAACTTTGAACTTTACACTTTATATAAAATTGTTTTTCAAAGCTGAAGCGAGACGATTCATAACTTTTCTAAGCATTTACTAACTGTTAATTTGTATATATGTATAAATATCTAAACATTTATTAACTGTTAATTTGTATATAT